ATCTGTCCTTGACATCTTCTATGTTCAGGGAGAGACCTCTCCTGTATTCTCTTTGAAATGACTTTATTTATTTTTATTTGATAAGTAAACATTGAATATATCTATGGCATACAACATGCATTTTGATATATGAATGTGTTGAGGAAGCATTATCTCATATAATTATTATCCCTTTGTTCTCCCTTGGATTTTTGTATTTGTCTTAGCACATACCATACCATACTGCAATTTCAGATTAATTGTCTGCATTACTTTTAACTATAATCTCGAATGAGGTCAGCGATTATGGCTGTCTTGTTCATTGATCAATACAAGTTCCTAGAATAAAGCCCAATGGTTTTTGTTTATAACTGGGTGAATGGTATAAAGAAGTATTTTAATGGAGAAATCAAAAGTTCAAGTAGTCAAAGATGAAAATGGATTTACAAAAGACATTGGAGAAAAAGGTCACTACTTCTCAGAGGGTGTATCCTTTGGAAAATAACTGTCCCTACTCCTTTTTATTTTAGTATTTAAAATGTGAGAATATGGTGAAATGTTATATGGAGCAATCTTTAATCTATTTCTATTAAAATACTCTATCCAAGCCTGATGACCAAGACCCTACCCCTATGATCTAGTTCAAACACGTTTCTTTTTGTTCTCTCCTTAGTCAAAGCTTCAACTACAACTTACATCACATCATAATTGCAATAAGAGGGCTACTGGCTATAATCAGAGCCTTCTGTTTCCTAGAAAAAACTATCTGTAGCCACCCAGAGCTCCTCCAGAGAAATAGATCTCTAATGATAAAATTCTGGCATTAGGACAAGAGGCAAGAAAAACCATCCAATCACAGTATGTTGTAATTGCCTACTCAGACATTGTTTAAATTTGGTCCTTCCTCTGGCTAAAGGCAAACACAGTGTACTCTTCAGTGAACATCTATAGAATTTTAATATAATTGAATAAGATGTAATATAGCATAATGCTATACCACATACCTAGCCGTGAATTTATCTTTTTAGAAATCTAACATTTTTCTACCCATGAGATTCTATGGACTAAAAGGGAAACAGTATGGCCCAAGAGATGATGGCAGAGTTGACCTCAGGTGGGTTGGTCCTTTGTCAGGCCTGGCAGTCAATAAGAGAGGCTGATTTACACGGATTCTTTGATTACCTCAGGCAGTGAAAAGACCTGATGTCAATCTAAGCTTGCAGAATTCTTTGAACTAGACATGGCATAAGCTGCCTTCTATTTCTAAACATTTTATTAGGCAGTCCCTGATGGGATGGATGCCAGGCATGTGAATTTTCTAGGACTGTCTTTCCACCTGACCTGTTCTGTCTCATTGAGTGGAATTGGTAGGAACACCTGAACCTTAAGTGGATTTTTGTTGTTATTCTAATATACTGTTCAACTGTTGTTTAAAAAAAACATTATTATATATCATTAACTAATCCACTCGGCAGTAAGAGAGATCATACAGTGGGATAGAAACAGCAAATTTGAGGCGTTAAAAAGACACACACCAAAAAACTGGCAATCAACAATAATATAAAAGTAGGAAGATTAACTCTAATAATGAGTTCCAAACAAAAACATAATGAAGATATTTTTAATCCAATTTCCACATAAAATTCAATATTAGCATATGCAAAAATAAATTATTTACCCAAAGTGCTCTGCAATAAAAAATAAAGCATCTAAAGATCAAAAGTTGAGAGTTTAATGATTTTTGTTGAGAACGAAAAGTTGTCTTTATGGTGAATTAATTTTACCTTGCATTCCACCTTTTAAAATAAAATATTGGGGGACCAGCAGATGACATAATGGTTATGTACCTGGACTCCCATGTAATCAACCACAGTTTGATTCCTGGACACAGTGGCTTAAAACTCATGCCAGGTGTGTGTGCCCACAATCCAGAGAGGAGAGTAGGGGAGAAGGGATTATGGTGCCCATATCCCCTGGGGGGTGCTTGCTCACTTTCTATCTCTCTGGCAAGCACATGCATCCTATAGTAAAAATCTCTCTCTTAAAAGAAATAAAATAAAATATTGGATTGACCTGTAACTTTATGGTTAAGGGAGACAGAATCCACATGGCCAACTATGTGGATTGAATCCTGGGCTTGGTGGTTTGAAAAGTGATCTGGGTTGAAGTGCATGCAAACTCCAAATCCCAATAGGGTGGAGTAGAAAGGATCATAC